CTAGGTATTATTCAACCCAGTGACTATGCCACAATTTATTTATCCATTCTTCAGTCAAAGGACAACTACCTTCCCCAGTTTTGGCTGTGATGAAAAGCACTGCTATCAGCTTTCTCATATACGCAGGCTTGGGCACAGGCACTAGGCTATGCTAGTGGGGTTGCTGTGTCAAAGCTCACGTATCTTGCTTTTCAGAGATTGCCAAATTTCCAAAACAGTTGAATCAGTTAGCCTCTTCCTAGCTTTGTGTAAGGATCCCCAGTGCTCACCCACTTCCTCACCAACCCTTGGGATAGTCACATTTCTGAATTTTGTCCATCTAGTGAGCACAAAATCCCATCTTCTTATGGTCTCACTTTGCATTTTCTTGGTCACAGCTGAGGTTGAGCATCTCTGCGAACATCTCTTTGCCCTTCTTGTGGGCCTCTTTTGTGACGTGCCCAACCATTGTTCTCCCTCATTTTTAAATTGGGTTTTTTTTTGAGATTGACTTGTAGGAGTTTTTATGCATCCTAGATACTAACCCTTTGTCACTTACAGGTGTAAGGAATATCATCTCCCAGTTTGAGGCTTCCTTTTTACTGTCTTTTGATGAATGTTATGATCTTAATTTTAACCTGGTAGAATGAATCAGTCTTCTCCTTTACGGTTTGTGTGTTTGAAGACTTGTTTTTAAGAAAAGCTTTGTTTGTTGAGTCAGATTGAATAACTGGACCCAAGGACCCCTGGGAAGTTGCAGTGCAGGTGGCTGAGGACACCCGCCACCCAACCTCAGAAAAGGCAGAGCCCATGGCAGACCCCCAGGCACTCGGTGTGGCTGACAGCTGGGAGATTGATTAAAAACTGGAGTGAGGCAAGAGAATGAAGGAGAGAGGCTGAGTGCTTTGAATTTGATCCTTTTAGCGACAATTAAGCAATCACCACACCACAGATGGGCAGAGAAAAAAGCTTCCTGAGAAACCGACACAGGCTATGGCAGAGGCTGCCCTTGGTCTCACCTTGGACCCAGGGCTGTGGGGCTCCTGTGCCACCCCTCCCCGCTCCTCCCCTTCGGTTTTTATTGAGACATTTCACTGAGACAAGTGCTTCCCCCACGGGTAAACTAGAGAACCAAAGGACCGTCTGAGAATGTGCAGGATAAAATCACGGAGGCCTGACCGAGTGGCATTCATCATCGTCATCATCATCTTCATTGGCACTGACTGGGAAGTAGAGAGAGTAAATCCAGAGGAAATCCTTTTTTTTTTCCTGTTTTCTTTTAAGAGGCAGGGTCTCACTCTATTGCCCAGGCTGCAATGCATGGCTCACCACAACCTCGGCCTCCTGGGCTCAAGAGATCTTTCTGGCTCAACCTCCCAAGTAGCTGGGACTACAGGCATGTGCCACCATGCCAGGCTAATTTAAAAAAGATTCTCTTTTGTAGAGGCAGGGGTCTCACTAGGTAACAGTTAGACTCAAAATGGATGCCAAGGCAACATAAAATTTTTGAACTCCTGGCCTCAAGCAACCCTCTCACCTTGGCCTCCCAAAGCGCTGAGATTACAGGCATGAATTACTGCGCCCAGCCAGGATGGGGCTAGAAGTGAAAGGGTCAGTGAACTTGAATAGGAAAATGTTTATGTCCTTATTTTCATTAATCTCTGGCTGAAATTTAGCATTACTTTCAATTATAAATGTAGAGAACAAACCAAACAATGTTAGCAATACCCGTGACTTGTCACCTGTAGAAATCACAGATAGTTTTACATCCTATTACTTTTCTTGTAAACATTTTGAAATATCTACTTCAGATTGTGATTGTTATGTAATTCTACTACATCTTTGTTATTTAATGTTTTAATGAAGAAGCACGCATCGTAATTTTTAAAAGGATTTGATAATCGTATTAACAAATAATTAGGTTCCCTGGTAATCCTACCTGGTTTATTTTATGCATTTAAAAACATTATTTTCCAGCCTGGGCAACATAGGTAGACACCATCTCTACAAAAAAAAATAATAATAATAATACAAAAATTAGCTGTGTGTGGTGGTGCGTACCTGTGCTCCCAGCTACTCAGGAGGCTGAGGTGGGAGGATCACTTGAGTGTGGGAGGTGGAGGCTGCAGTGTGTGGTGACTGCACCTCTGCACTCCAGCCTGGGTGACAGAGAGAGACCGTGTCACAAAATAATAATAAGAATTATATAATATAATAAAATAAAAACAAACAAAACTATTGTTCTGAGGAGGGCTCTGTAGATTTCCTCAGATGACCAAAGAGTCCGTGAAACAGGAAGGTTGAGAATTGGACTCAGAAGCCACACTAACTCTCGTGATCTTAGACGAGCTCCAGGTATGGTGGAGGATGGAGGAGACGGTCTGCGACAGTGCCCTGAAGCTACGCAGGGAGTGACTGTGGTTCCTTGTTGCTGGGTAGTCCCTGTCAGTGAACAGGACCTCTGCCTTTCGCATGAGAAGGACGCAGTGCCCAAACACCTTGCTCTGGCGGAATTAGTGGTCTCTGACTCGTGGCCGGCCTGGGTGCCTGCCTCCTCTAGGTAGGTCTAAGCTCCTTGAGGGCCGGTCAGCCCTTGTCCATGTTCTAGGGGAAGGGTGGCTGCAGTCTCCTAGTGAGTGGTGCCATGGGCCCACATGGAGGCGAGGGGCAGGCGCTGAGTTGCAGTCAGCGCTCCAAGCCCTTCGGAATCTCGTCCCCCCTGCTAGCTCCTCTTTACACACACCCGCCTTGTTTTCCCTTCACATTGGGCTTCGTGCCATTCCCCAACATGCCCAGCGTTATTCGGTTTCTGGAACTTCCTTCACCTCTCCCACCTGCCTGGGTGTTGATAGGATAGACAAAGCAAAGCTTGGGAGCAAATGACCCCTAGATTCCCTCGCGGGCTGGCAGCACCACTGTTCCGGTTGTCTTCATTTGGGCCCAGGGCTGACAGAGTGGCCTCCACCTGCAACCTTCCCTGTCTCCTGGCAAAGGGACAGAATATAGTGACCGGGCAGAGTGTCACTGCCCTCATGTCTCATCAGGCAGAGTCACGGGGCCACACCCGAGTCCAGTGGAGCAGGGATGCGAAGTGGTTCTCTCTGAAGGAGGGACCACAGCCCTGCGGTGCCCCACCCTCATCTCCCCATCCCTGTCAGGGTGATTCTGTCCCCTTTCAAGATTCACCCAGGCCCCACTGGCCCTGGTCTCCTCGGTGGGCACTTGTCTCCCTCCCCAGTACTCTTGTGTTTGGGGTGAGCACCCGGATCAGCTTCAATCTAGCTTGCGCTGGACCTTCCGTGTTGGCAGGTGGCTCATTACACCCACATGTCCCCCCAGAGTTCAGCCATAATGTGTCGCTCGTGATGTTGCAAAGGGAAGCAACCACCGATGAAGGCCCTGGAGGGCTTGGAAACCACGTGCCTTGAGTGATGACACTTGGTTTGAGAATTGAAGAAGGATGTTTCGTTGTCTAACTTGAAAGGAGCTAACTGACCTGTATCAGGCATCAGGATTAAAGACCTTTGTGACCCAAGGGCAGACAGACCCTTCCACCCTGCCATGGACTTCTTTCTGTTTCTGGGTTTGTTGTTGTTGTTGTTGTTTTTGGAGACAGGGTCGCTCTATCTCCCAGGCTGGAGTGCAGTGGTGCAATCACAGCTCACTGCAGCCTCAGCCTCCTGGGCTCAAGCAATACTCCTGCCTCAGCCTTCTGAGCAGGTAGGACCATAGGCACAGGCCACCACGCCCAGCTATTTTATTTTATTTTATTTTTTGTAATGGGTCCCATCACGCTGTCCAAGCTGGTCTCACCATGTTGCCCACCACACTGTTCTCAAACTGTTGGGCTCAAGCGATCCTCCTGCCTCGGCCTCCCAAAGTGCTGGGATTTACAGGCTTGAGCCTCTACGCCTGGCCTGGACTTTCTGAAGAAGCCAGGCTTGGGTTGTGGGAATTATGGGGAGTGTGCTGACAGGAATGACTACACAAAGCGTCAGCCAAAGTGCAGCTCCTTTTGAACTGGCTTCCTAAAGACACTGAGCCTGCTTTGAAGAACTGCTTCCTTCTCTGAACCTTCTGTGTAAGGTCGGCTGTTATAGCGCCACCTCGAGGTTTTGGTGGGAATAGTCAGTGCCCAGTCATCCTTTGGTGAATTAACTGCATTGGGCAAAATTAAGTGCATTCATGGAAGAAAAAACCTACTAGCAATCAGTAAAAACATATGCGTATTTAAACAATATACAACTTGGAAATGTCAAGTAACCATCTTGGGGCTAATGTCAGGGCAAGCACCTCCCCTTTCCCAAGCTGCTGTGGCCAACCAAGCCCCTCCCCGTGATGTGCAGCTCCTCCTGTGAACCAGTTGTTAAATTTGCAGGGATTTTGTGGGCCAGTTGTTAAGCACAACCATTATTAAGAGTTAAATAGGCCGGGCGCGGTGGCTCAAGCCTGTAATCCCAGCACTCTGGGAGGCCGAGACGGGTGGATCACGAAGTCAGGAGATCAAGACCATCCTGGCTAACACGGTGAAGCCCCGTCTCTACTAAAAAATACAAAAAACTAGCCGGGCAAGGTGGCGGGCGCCTGTAGTCCCAGCTACTCGGGAGGCTGAGTCAGGAGAATGGCATAAACCCAGGAGGCGGAGCTTGCAGTGAGCTGAGATCCGGCCACTGCACTCCAGCCTGGGCGACAGAGCGAGACTCTGTCTCAAAAAAAAAAAAAAAAAAAGAGTTAAATAACAGGCTGGGTGCAGTGGCTTGTGCCTGTAATCCCAGCACTTTGGGAGGTTGAGGTGGGTGGATCATGAGGTCAGGAGTTCGAGACCAGCCCGGCCAACATGGTGAAACTTCGTCTCTACTAAAAATACAAAAATTAGCTGGGCATGGTGGTGCACGCCTGTAATCCCAGCTCCTCAGGAGGCTGAGGCAGGAGAACCCAGGAGGCGGAGATTGCAGTGAGCTGAGATGGCGCCACTGCACTCCAGCCTGGGTGACAGAGTGAGACTCCGTCTCAAAACAAAATTGTGCATCTGATCTGACTGTTGTCTATGCACTTAAGCTTATTTGTGTCTGTTGCAGCTCTGGGATGGAAATGTAGTGGCGTGTGTCTCTTCCCAACTCCGTATTTGGTAACATCATGTGGGTAGCTGAAAATCGGCCATAGTGGGGATATGTACACCTTGGAAGTCCACACATGTCCCTGTCTGGTCTGGGCACGAGGAGGCCTGAGTGGCAGGCTCCTGGGAACTGGGTGTGAGGGTGGAGGCACCAGGTGGGGTAGGAAGGAGGAGGAAGAGGTCAGCAGCAGCTGCTCTGTGACTCTGTCCACCTGAGGACTAATGTTTGAAAACTGCAGAATTTGCAAAGAAACACACAGCAATCATTATTCTAAAAGATACTGTTTTAAGTCATTTCTTTTATTATTTATATTATTTTGGTTGCTTGTCAGTGTGACAGGCCATGCCTGAGCCGTCCATGTAAAGTTCCCAAGAGGGCACAGATGGGAGACTGCGGTGCAGCCTCAGATGTGGGGGGAACACCCAGTGTCACACGGCAAGAATTTAACACCCGGGTGGTGATGAGGCAGGGAAGAAAAGGGGGGCGCGTCTGCAGCTCTGTGCCCCTCCAGCCTGGCTGGCATCTCTGCCTACTCATGTCAGAGAACAATTCAGCGGGCTACACGGGAGCCATGGTCTACCCAGGAGCTTTTTTACAACCTGCTTCCCCTGTGCATTTCTTACAACCTGCTTCCCCTGTGCATTTCTTACAACCTGCTTCCCCTGTGCATTTCTTACAACCTGCTTCCCCTGTGCATTGCTTCCTTGATGCTTCTGGAGGAAATCAAATTAAAAGCAAACTTGAACCGAGTCCAGGTTGTCAATATCTCCCATTCTTGAACCCAGTCCAGCTTCATGGTACAGACATTAAACATCTTATATGATGCCTTATATCCCTAAATTGTCATACTTGCATCACACTTTCAAGGATATACATCTGAAATACATTCCGAAATAGTGTTTATGATTCTAATTAAGTAAGATTACATTAAGTCCAGTTTTTAGAGTTTTAAGCATTGTATATGGAGTTAACAATTAAAAAAATGAAACTCGTGTATTTTTAATTGCTCTTGTTTTTTGATGCTCTGTAGCATCCAGTGAATCAATGGCTTAAGTACTTCAGGGAAGTGGTGGCTTCTGCTACAAAAATAAATGTGTTGTTCACTTTGACAGTCAATTTAGGCTTTCCATTTTGTTTTGTCTTCTAGGCAAAACAATAGTCTCGAACGCTGGGTTTTGTTAAGAAAAACAACTTTTTCTGAATTCCAAAGCTTCCTTCTAAATATAAGGAATCAATGCCGGCTTATTTTGAGCGTAGACTTTTACTCTAAGCCATAAATAGAAGGAATTCTGGATACAATGGAAGTGAGGTTCCTGGGTGACAGGAAGGCGGAGGAGAAAGCATTCTGCTTTGCCTGGGAGAGGTTTGTGGGGGGTGAGACCTGTGGGAGGAAGCGGCCAAGAGCTGGAGGCCGCTTTGAGTGAAATCCCGAGGTAGAGGGAGGCGTCCAGGTGGACGGACCTGAGATGCTCCTTGTTGTCCACCCGTGATACCTGCCTGTGTCCCACAGGAGTTGCAGGGGTGGGCCACAGAGGTGCTGAGGCAGGGAGGGGGTGAGGTGGTCACCTGAAACAGGGACCTGGGAACCAGGAGCCATGGCGCTTGCCTTGGGTACTGGGGGACACTCAAAGGCCCGTGAGGCAGTCAGCTCAGTGGACAGAGACCAATGGGATGGGCCACTTAACTGGAGGCCAGAGGGGACCCAGAGGATGGCAGGTAGACCCAAAGCCCCTCACCCATCACCACCCTGAGGCCACATTAACTTCTTTTATGGCACTCAGCTGCCCCCAGTCAAGTCCCTGGTGGAGCCACATAAGAAAGTCTGTGCCAGGCTGGGGACCACGGTACAAAGCACAGCTCCATGACTGTAGGAGTCCTCATAAGACCCCAGGGACAGAGAGGTCATGGGGGCTGCAGGGTTAGGCCCGGCCATTGTCTCAGGGAAGAGTTACTTCTGTGCCCTGATGTCCCCACATCCTCTGGCCCCCTGGCCTCAGCGTTTCCTTTAACAAGCAAATGAAGTGGCCCCAGCACCGTCCCAGCATCTGAGCACTGAGGGAAGTCAGGGATCCCCCAGCACTCCTGCGGGGAGAGAGAGGAGGTCCTTCTTCCGTTGCCTCTCGTCGGGTGTCCTGAAAGTCAGTATCACGAGGCTGTCAGTGGAAACAGACAGAACTGGTCAGGAAACAAACTTCACGGTCAATGTTAGATACCCTGTTTCAAGAAAATACACTGGCCATTTCCAGCTACAGAGACTCCCTTCCTAGGCTGCCCACTGGCTGGCCCCCATCCTCCCCAGGGCTCTCTAGAAGAGACAGTGTGGGGTGATAGAGAGAGCTGGCTTTGCAGCCAGACAGGCAGGAGTTCAAATCCCAGGCTCCCATCTCACTGGCTATGTGGCCCTGTGTGACCTTGGGATCTTTCCTTCCTGACCCTCAATTTATCCATCTGTAAAATGGGAGTCCTGAGGCCCCATCCACAGGTTTCTGAATGGTGGGATAACTGATACAAGGGACTCTCACGTTCTTGGTACAGAATCAGCACTTGGTAAATGGCAGCAATTGCTGCTATTGGCTTCTGGCCCAATCCCTTCGGGGCACCTGTGCCAGGTGTCTGGGAGGACACTAATAAAGAGTGACTCAGCAGAGACAGCCACAGGATGGGCAGGAGGGAGCAAAGGAATGCTGGGGTCCCCCAAAGTAGCAGCACAGTTGGGGGCAGTGGCAGTGGGCGTGTAGCGGTGCTGAGCTGTGGTGAGTGGGTGGAGTGGAGAAGCAGTGCTGGGAAGCTGGCTGGGGCTGGGGTGACCTGGGGCCCTAGGGGAGGGAGTGGAGTGACAGGGTGCCAGCTGGACCTATGCCATGGCAGTGCAGCCAACACGAGGGGCTGGTGCAGGAGCCGGCAGGAGTGGGGCCTGCAGGGGCCAGGGTGGAGGGCTCAAGGCTTGTGCAGCCTGCAGCGTCTGGGTGGAGTCAGGCCAGGGCCACGTGGGCAGGCATGGGACTGGGGGAGGAGCTGATTCAACGGTGGACCTGGCTTTTTCTGGTGGGTGAACTAAGGGGTGCGCAGAAGGCCTCCCTCTCAATGTCCCACTCTCTAATCCTTCCTCCTAAGAGATCGATCTGGGCCGTGAACTTCTGCTCCAAAGGCCAGTCCTCTAGCAGAGCCACGTCTGTGAAGAGACCGGAGACACCATTGACATTTCTCTATTCCAGGGGTTCTCACACTTTGGCAAAGGTGTGAGAGGTGCAATTGCTCGACCTTACCCAGAGTCTCTGGGTCAGTAGATCTGCCGTGGGGCCTGAGAATTTGCAATTCTATTAAGTGCCCAAGAGATGTTTATGCTGCTGGTCAGGGACCACACTGGTCAGGGACTGAACTAGGTGTTGGTGCAGTATCACCTGGGACCCTCGCAGAGTACTCTATGGCAAATCTTTTTAGAAAGCACTTGCCACAGCGCAGGTTCCCCCACCCCATGTCACAGCGGATGCCACTGAAGACCAGAGAGGGTGAGTAACCTCCCCAAGGTCATTCAGCCGAATGGTGGCGTAGTTATCATTTGTAGTTAGGTCTCCTGGTGCCAAGTTCTCCACTCGGTCACCATGATAATGACCATCGTTGTCATCATCATCACCACCATCATTGTCATCGTCATCACCGCAGGCACTCTGAGCTCCCTGTGGGCTGTTTTGCAGCTTTGCTCCTGCCCAGGACCAGGGACCAGCCAGAGCTTCATGATTGTCAGCTGAGTGGAATCCCTTCCTGGGGCAAGTCAGTGAGAAAGACTTTCTCAGGCTGCAGGTGATGACCGTTGGCTGAGGCCCCCACTGTGAGCTGGGCAGGTTGGCCAGGGAATAAAGAGGAGGAGACTTTGCTTACTTAGCATCAGTCCAGGTGGAGGAGCCATGGGCCAAGGCAAGGTTCAGAGGCGACAGAAGGGAGGTGGAACTGCACCCTGGTCGTGTTACCTTTTCGAAACCCGCTGGGAGCTGGGAAGGCAATTACCACTCTCCAGTCTGGCTTTGAGTGAGGTGCAGCTCCCAGGCCTCCTGTCCTGTCTGCCCGCCAGGCTGTTGTTGCCTGGAGGTACCAGACCAGAGCCGAGGGTTCTGAGAAGGAAATGCAATTTGCTATTGGTGTACCAGGCCTTCTTCTATGCTACCGTGTGCTGCTCAGTGGACTGAAGCCTTTGCTCATTAGCAGGGCCTCATCCCAGGCCAGTTCATCCTGGGCCTCTCAGTGGTTGAGGAAATGCCTGGGCCCATCTGGGCCTGCCTTTGCCTCCCTGGGACCTTGCCTCCCGTGCAGAGGAAAAGGAGTGGGAGGAAGGAGGGCCCAGGGGGAGTCAACGGGAGCAGCTGGGGCTGCAGGTGTTTGGAAGTCCCCTGGCCCACCCACACTTTCAGTCTAACCAGGGGCCCCGGGCCTGACTGAATGAGCCCCTTCTCAGAAGAACCACAGGTGGCTGGGCGCCGTGGCTCATGCCTGTTAATACCAGCACTTTGGGAGGCCAAGGTGGGAGAATTGCTTGAGATTAGGAGTTCAAGACCAGCCTAGGCAGCATAGTGAGACTCCGTCTTTACAAATAATAATAATAATAATAATAAATTAGCCAGATGTGGTGGTGTGTGCCTGTAGTCCCAGCTACTTGGGAGCCTAAGTTGGGAAGATCGCTTGAGCCTAGGAGGTTGAGGCTGCAGTGAGCCGTGATCACAACACTCACTCCTGCCTAGGCAACAGAGAGGGAGACCCTGTTTTGAAAGAGAGAAAGAGAGAAAGAGGGAGGGAGGCAGGAAAGGAAGGAGGGAGGGAGGGAGGAAGGGAGGGAGGAAGAAAGGAAGGAAGGAAGGAAGGAAGGAAGGAAGGAAGGAAGGAAGGAAGGAAGGAAGGACCGACCACAGGCCTTCCTAGAGCAGAGATAGTGCCCCGGGATAAAACTTGGAACTTTGGAGCCAGACAGCTTCGGGCCTCATTTGCTCTCCTGCCTTCAAGTTGTGGTTTAACTTCTCTGGGTCTCAGTTTCAACATCTGCAAAAGGGCTGTTACAAATATTCCCTGAAAGCATCTTCCTGGAGACAGAGCTCTGAGTCTGGGCCTGCCATGCAGCTCCGTAGAGTCTGCTCGGCATTTTCTGCCAGCAGAGCCAGCCCTGCTGGTCCCAGGAACAAGTGGGGTGGAGTCTGAGATCCTCTTCTTCTGCCAAGTGTTGGGGCTCTGGGCTCTGTCCTGGGCCCTCCTCTCTTCATCTGTACATAGGATCCAAGATCAGCTCCTTCACTCAGTGGCTTCACAGTCCCCCCGCCCTTGCACTGATGGTCCCTGGAGCCACGTGATCCAGTCTTGTCTGGACATCTCCACTTGAATGTCCCAGAGACACTCAGGTCGCTTAGTGTCCCAAGGTGGGACCACCATCGTCCTCGCCGCTACCCCCACTCCCGTCCTGTGCTGTCATTTCAGGGAATGGCCTGGCATCCAGCCTCGTCCTGCCTCTGCCTTCTCCCACAGTAAGCTTATTGAGCGTAGCTCACCTGGAAATGTGGAGATGGGAAATACGGTGGGGACTGCTCAGGTGTGGCCGTGGCTGAGACAGCACAGCCCCTGGATCAGCCTACCTGGACTGGAGTTGGCATAAATGTAGGCCCCACATAAATGTAGGCGCGGGGATGCCACTCCCCATGCCCCCCCACCCAGCAGTTCTCCCAACTCCATGCTTCTGGAGCCCAAGGCAGCTTGGGGGTGCACTCCCTCACCTTTATCCCCTTTCCCGCCTTTCTATCTGGGCCCCTTGTAGTTTGACCAGCAAGTGCCCCTTGTGTGGTAGAGAAACGTCCATCCCCTGCAGACAGAAACTGCAGGGACTGCCTCTCATTCGCCCCACCCCTGGGCTCCTGGTAAACATGCTGGCAGGCAGGGATTTCCCGTGATGCGATTTCACAATTGCCGTCCCATCTTTTTGGATGTATTCATTCCGGAAACATCCTCCCAGGGGCCCTCTGTCCAGGCCCTGGAAATGACTCAGACCCAGGCTCTGCCCTGGCCTCTTTCGTTGCTTAAAATATTCCAGTGGCTTCTCTTCCTTCCTCAGTTCCCATTTCAGCTCCCGGAGGAGGGTGACCTCTCACCCAGGCCTGTCACTGGCTTTGCTGGTGGGCTTACCCCTAGGTTTTCGGTTTTGGCCTCTGGCCCCAGTGTCTCGTCAGGGCCCCTGTCCTCCCCTCCCCTCTGTGTGGCCTCCACAGCCAGCGGCTGCTGGTGGCCCCAGCTCCCAGCCAGTGTCCTTGTTTTATCTTGCCTGTGAATGTGCCTCTCTTCAGAGCATGTCACTGTGGCAGCCCAGTCAGGTCCGATGTTGGAGGCAAAATGGGCGGGGCCTTTGAACCATGGACTTGGGGCATCTCTGGGTTTCTCTGAGCCTGCGCCCACCTCTGTCTGCATCTACAGACTCGGGAGCCACAGTCCAGGGTTTGCAAACTGAGATCCCTTGAGCATATTTGAAAATGCCCCACCCCAACCCTGCTGTCCCCTGCCCCCTCCCCCAGCACACACAGCCCACAGCCCCACCCCAACCCTGCTGTCCCCTCCCCCAGCACACACAGCCCACAGCCGCACCCCAACCCTGCTGTCCACTGCCCCCTCCCCCAGCACACACAGCCCACAGCCCCACCCCAACCCTGCAGTCCCCTGCCCCCTCCCCCAGCACATACAGTCTGCAGCAGCTAGAAGAAGTCATTCTTCTTTTTAAAAGTAAAAATCTCCCCCCAGAGAGGCTTGTAAGTGACCCGAAGACATCCTTAGAAAAGGCTTTCAGGCATTTGAGGCTTCCGTGTTTAAAGCAAATTCACAGAAGGTTGAGGTTGGTGAGGGGAGGCTGGGCCCCTTGTTTCCAAGAGCAGAGGGCTGCCCCGAGCACCTGGGGAGGGGCTTATGGGAATAGGGCACAGGAGGTTGGAGGAGAGATGGTGGGGACAGCCCGGCTGCCATGGACCTTTATGAAGAGCGGACTCTCTAGCACTCCAGCTGGAGCTTGGTGTCTGTGCCACTGGCCTTCTCCCACCTTGCCCCGGTTCCCCCTCACTCCCACCCTACCTTGCTGCCTCATGGGTCCACTTCCTGCTGCCCCATGTGCCACCTGGCTTTGAGCCATCATCCTGAAGCATCCTGCATCCTTCTCTGAGCATGTCACACATTCCCAAACCCAAGGAGGGCATTGGACTGGCCCCACCAGGAGCTGGGTGTCGGCCGAGCCTCTGATCCGCCCCTTCACAAGCACACAGGGTGGCCTCTGTGGGACCTCCCCACATCTGCCTCTTCTGTCTGTACTGGCGGGTCTGCAGGAAGCCTTTCATCTGAGGGCTTCCTTTGAACTTCACCAGCGGCTCTCACAGGGGCCGCATAAGCCAAACTCTTGGTAATCATTCGAGAGCCAGAGGCCCCTGCCCTGGTTTTGGTGTCTGTGTGACCATGGCAGGTCACCGCCCTCTCTTGAGTCTTGGTTATTGCATCCACCACAAGGGCTCACATCAGACCTCCTCCATCAGGCTCTTCTGAGGATCAGTGGAGCTGTGACAGCATGTCCGGCACCTGGCCCCAAGGACAACTCTCTCTTTATTTGCCTAATTCTGCTGAGTCAGGAATGGCCCAAAGGACCTTGGAGCTCTGTGGCGCCATCGCCTCCTGCAGCTTTCCTTGGAGAGTTGGCACTCTAGCGAGCATACCCGGATGGAAGGCGAAAAGAAGTTGAAGCACAAGGAGCCGAGGCCTGCACTTGAGCAGATGTCTTCCTCAGCCTACATTTTCTTCCAAACACCCCAAGCAACTATGGAAACCCAACCTGTGGAGAGTAAAGGCGCTTCAGAAGGGTTTTGTGTGTTTCTCTCCCTGTTGTCTTTGGAGCGCTGCTTCGTGCATCTCCAGGAGAGTTGATAACTGGATCAATAGCTGTTTTGCTGTAATTTATTGAGCTCTATTGCCTAAACCTAATTAGCATGATTCTGAGCCATGAAGTGCTCTAAGTCCTGTACTTAGACGGGGAATCGATCCTGCAGCTGCCCTGGGCTGAGTGAATGTCAGGGAAAGGGATGGGGGTGGGGACATCATTCCAGTAAACGTGAGAGTCAGACAGGAAGACACAGCCCGGGAGAGCAACATTCTGGTGCTTTCACCACCCCGGGCCCCAGCCCTCAAGGTGGGGACCTTTCACCCCAAGTCCTGGCCCTCAGAATGGGAGACCATAGGGGTCTACGTTGGAGAGCCAACCCCACTGCTTGGCAGCTGGGTGCTTGACTTTCTCTAAGCCTTCGTTTCCTTGGCTGGAATGAGGATCTGGTGATGACACCATAGCAAGGGGTGGGGAAAGCATTCCTTAAGAACCCCCCACCAAGCTCACACCGTAGGCTTGCCTGATTGTGAAGAGGGGACCCTCTAGGTCCAGCACAGGGTCCAAGTGACCTTGCAGGAAGGTTGGTGCCTGGAGGAAGGGGAGGCCGAGTGACAATTGGTCAGTCAGAAGATCCTAGTGGTGTCTGGGCCAGGGGACTTCTAAGGACAGAGGTGGTGAATGGTCCGATGTTTGTGTCTGCCTGTGCTGTGCTGGCTGTCACTTTCCACACCTGCTTTGAAAGTCTGCATCCCACACAGTGAAGGTATTTGGAGTGGGAAAGAAGCACAGCGTCCAGTCCTACAGGTCAGGCCAGTGTGGACGAGAGAGAGAAGAAGAGGGCAGTACACAGCAGGGGAGTCCCGGGAGGAAGAGACTTGGAGTTAAAGATAACTCAGAGGAACAAGCTGGCCCTGCAATAGGGGGCTGTGCTAGGGCCAAAGTCAGGGCGATTTCAGCAGGCTGCTTTTAAAAAAGAAAAATTGAGCCGGGCTAAGTGGCTCACACTTGTAGTCCCAGCACTTTGGGAGGCTGAGGTGGGAGGATGACTTGAGGCCAGCAGTTCAAGACCAGCCTGGGTAACACAGTGAAACTCACCCCCCAAACTCTACAAAAATAAAAGAATTAGCCAGGCTTCTGTAGTCCCAGCTACTCAAGAGGCTGAGACAGGAGGTTCACTTGAGCCCAGGAGTTCGAGGTTGCAGTGAGCCATAAATGCACCACTGCACTCCAGCCTGGATAACAGAGTGAGACCCTGTCTCAGAATAAATAAATACATTGAGACATAATTTACATAACAGAAAATTGACCATTTTAAAGTGTACAAGTCAGGGGTTTTTGGATATTCACTGTGTTGTGCAACCATCACCATTGTCTAATTCAGAATATTTTCATCACCCCAAAGAGAAACCGTGTACCTATTAGCAGTTGCTTGTTTTCCCCTCCCCGCAGCCCCTGGCAAGCACTAATCTGCTTTCTGTCTCTATGGATTTGCCTACTCTGGATATTTCATATAAATAGAATCAAACAGTATGTGGTCTTTTGCATCTGGCTTCTTTCTCTTAGCATAATGTTTTCAAGGTTCATTCATGTCATGGCATATGTGAGTACTTTATTCTTTTTTATGGCTGAATCGTGTTCTACTGTATGGAGAGAG